TAATTCTAAGCTTTGCGGAGAAGTAACAGTTCAGTATTGGAATAGAAGTTTTCTTAATATTCTGGTAATATTTTATGGTGATTCACAAGGACGTCATGTCTTAACTTTGCATCATGCAAGTCTGTGGATAATCCACCATACCTTCTATGCTAGAATGAAGTTTGAACTTCCATGTCTTTCTCATCGACATCAGTTTCCATTTGGTGAGATAGAATTACCAGATGTAAGTGTACATATATCTGCAAGCTAGCACGACGAATTGTCCATACAATTTCCTTTTTGTAAATATTTTGTTGCAGTTAAGTTCCTAGAGATGACACTGATCGATTGTGAACATGATAGTAGGAATGGTATTAGGTGGCTCTTTTGGTGGTCCGTAGGAGTTGTTTCCTCCTTGGTGCGACATGCACTAAGCGGACATATCACCGAATATTCTTCACCTTTGTAACTTTCTACCTATGTTTCTTTCTTTTCGAAATGTCTCCTTTCATACTTTGACTGATCAATCATTATACACACATGCATATTTCAGATAGGATTTTCTTGAGGTCAACTCAGTCTCTTCTTCAATGAAGTTAGAATCCAGAATCTGAGATTGGATGTCTCTTACAAATAATTCTTTACTTCCCCTATTACACAATTTTTAATCCCGGATGATTGTGACCGGCCAGACTTAAATTCCTGTAATCATGCTGCCAGGTCCCGTCTGTAAAATATTTCTTTGTCGATGTCTTATATTGTTAGCATAAACAGCGATGCGAAAGTTGTCGAAGCATTGCGAGCGCCCTCTTGTGTTTTCCGTTGAATAGAGCATACCGAGTTGCGTAACAATTTGCATATGACATGCAGTGCGAAAAAGCCTTTTATTCCGTGCAGTGTTTCAAAAGCATAGGGCTTCGGACGCACATTCCGTGAATTTTTCGCTAGTTTTCTTGGAGAGTAAGCAAGCATGGGTAGGTCACTTGACTGCTTGTCATTGCTGCTGCCAGCCACACCTTATTGCGAGCCAGCTTGTCTATATTTTGCTGTGTTTCTCACGTGGTTTTGCCATGGTTAGCACGCCGCATGTGCATACACATATCATGTACATGCATATCGTGTAGTTGCCCAAACATCCCGAGGCATAGGTACACAGGCCGCAACTGCTCCGGTAAGTGTTTCAACTTCGTAAATTTTGATATTATCTTAAATAGCACTTTACGACACATTTTTATGCCATGAATACTCGAGGTTGGAAGCCAAGTCTGTATGAAACATTTTTATGCCATGAAATAAATATCCCAGGTTGAAAGCCAAGTCTATATGAAAATTGTGCATAAGATGACTTGAATTTTCGATACCGAACCTCCTGGTAATATTGACTGTATACTTGTACATACTTCGATCCTAAATACATGTTTCTTGTATGTTGAATTATAGGGTCAATGCACTTTATTGAACTCAAATTTGGATAGCGTGGATGGAAAGAGAAATAAGAGAATGTTCTAGCCTGAAATGAACCATGAGACATATATATGGATGTGCGAATACAGAATATTGAATACTCTTTTTATGAGCCTTACTGTTTAAACAAACAAATGTTAAGATATAGATGTACGGTATAAAATGCATTGTAAATTCATCAATATAGCATAACTACGGATGTGTACACATGTACTGTGGAGATGAAACTTTTTGATGGCACTGATGATTATTTAATATTCCTTCATCGAAACATTTATTAGTATTTATGAGATTACTTAATATGTACAGTAATTTTATTACAGCTACTGCTTGTGGTTCTGTGGTTCCTGAGTGGTCACAAATAGAGAAGCCTTCTCGAGTAGACCAGTGTATCCCATATCCAGCATCCATAATATTTGGGTACGTGTGTAAAACATTATTGCTTGAAATGTGCCTTGGAAATTGGAAATTGGAGATTTGGAGATTTGGAGATTAATGTGTTGTAAAATTATTGCATAGCAAGTGCTTATGGAGATTATTCTCCTTGATTAAATTTTTATGCCTTTAATATTTTTATGCCTCTCTAAGAAATGTACTTGTAAATTTGCAGCAAAAACATTTCTATGGAACAAATCAATGGAAATTGAGGTTTATAGAACCAGTAAAGCAATTTCTCGAGATAAAAGATAACCAAGGATAAGGAGAGATGGTTATTTCAAATAATTAAATAATTGAATATTGGATTCATAGTCATTGTATATTTGTAAATAAATTAATTTCTATTCTTCTGTTTTCTGTTATTACAGACTGCTGAAGAATGACTGTCGTTTTTTTGTAATAAAATTTTGATCAATTTATAGTGGAATATATACCCAGTGTCACTTTCAAATTTTTCTGCGTAACCTTTCCAGCTCGGTTACACTAACAACATCTGTTTTCAAAGTCATCCCTTGAACTTTGTGCGCAGTACATGCCCAGGCTAACTTCAGAGGAAACTGATGTCGGACACACTGTTTATTGACATTTTCTTCAATCATCTCAATACTCACAACGTCAACGTTATTGGAAGTACAGCGACTTTTCAAATTAGATCCAACATTCCCATAGTCAAACTTAACTGTAATATATTTTGGGGAATCTTCATTTGCAATTGTAACAATTTCACACACAGTTCCTAATACTCCATTGACAAGTCCATCTGCCACATCAATATTCCTGATAAGCATATTTCTGGCACCAACTCCAACCCATAATGACTCTGGCAAATTGGTTTTAGAACCTTTCTTGAATGATTTCTTCATTAGTTTCATTTTCCCACTCTTGGCATCCTTCTGAAAATCTTTGGCATTAATACACACACAATTTGAACACTTTGCAAAAAGAGTCTTTTGTGTTATACTCATCAACCTGTTTATTACAAGGATAAATGTGTACAGCATCTGTCCAATCTTCACCAGTTTCACGTGATTGTAACAATTCAATGTCATCACTGAGCAAAGTCTCTGTTTTCTTTCTTACACGTAACCGATTCAAGAGCTGTGCAATTTTTTTGTCTTCCATCTGCCTCATTATCTCAGTTAGTTCAATTTTTACAAAGTTATCACACCACAAATCGCCTGTAACATCACTACGATACAATGACTTCCCTTTCACTGGCGGTAACTGATAGAAATCACCAACTGCTAGTATGCTTACATTTCCAAAAGCATTATGATTTCTTGATTGTTTGATCTGACGAAGACGACCATGAATGTACTGCAACATTTTGTGATCTACCATTGAAATCTCATCAATAATTAATATCTGTAATTGCCTTAATTTATGCCTAACTGTACTAATCTTCTCTTCAGTCAAAGGGTGATATGGCAATGTAACATTTATTCCAATTGACAAAGCACTGTGAATAGTTGCTCCATGGATATTGAATGCTGCAACACCAGTGGGTGCTGTGAGCAGAACTGATAAGTCGTCTGGATTCTCCAACATTTCTCCAAAAAGCCTTAATGCTTCATAGTAAATACACTTGATTAAGTGACTTTTCCCAGTACCAGCACCACCAGTAACAAACACATGAAACGGTTCAGGATTTTTGTCATTTACTTTGTCCAAGCACCATTGTCTGACTTTGTAGAACACTTGTTTTTGTTTATAATTCAAACATCTCAACAACTTCATTGCTTCTTGTTTAGACACTTTCAGTGCATGAGGTTCAATGGTATATTTCATATTGTCATCTTTCTTTGATTTCAAATCAGGAATATCAAATTCATTTTCACTATCCTCGTCTTGTGGCAGATGCTGTTTTTGACATTCAAGTCTATCCTTTTCTGTTTCTGGAGCTATCATTGCCCAAGCATCTTCCTGTGGACCAAATTTTTCTAACAGTTCCTGAGCTTCATCTACAGACTCAGCATTTGCCTCATACAATGATCGATTACTTTCCACAATTTTCCTTACAGATTGCAGCGCACCATTAAGTTTCACAATACCATTTTTATAAAATTCCTCATGTGTATCAAATTGCTTGGGTTTCAACTGAATGTCAATGCGATAAGGGAGGTATAACTGCAAAATACTCTGATAGTACTTTTCAGGATATTTTGCTAGTGAAAATCTAGGAAACCTAATCACTGCGCAATCACTACGAGTTCGTTTTTGTATATGTCCTAAATTGTTCTGCAATTTGTATACTCTTGAATGACTTTTTTTCACAATGATGTTATAGATTACCCTATAATCAGAGCAAAATCTTAAATTCATTGTTTTTTGGTCTTGCTAAATATCGATCAATTCTACTTGTCATCCAAATACTATCATCATCTTCTTCACATTTTCTTTTAATAACACTGAGTGGCAAACTCATTCTGATTCGATCTTCCCCAACTGGTATAAATTCTACTTTCCTTGAGCCTTCTTTCAATCTCAAAGTACACACACGATACACTGCTTCTTGTGCCGACACCTCACGATTATGCAAATAAACAGAACCAATTTCTTTCATGCTCTCTCTAGCATCCATATTTCCTTTTCGTACTTCAACTTGAGCTTGCGACAACAATACACCCATTTCACGTTCAGCTTTCGACATGTAAGATACCACATAACTAACACACGCATATGCATCACATATATATTGAATATCCATGTTAGCATTCCAACATCTAATTAAATCTGGATTATACAGATTAACCCATACATCTTGCACTTCTCTCTTATGCACAATACTGGCCTCATTACTTAACACATCATTAGCCTGCTCAAAGTCTTTTTGTGTCATGTTAATACTTGAAAACAATTCATTGGTTGTCATCTGTTCATTCTCAATATTTCGTATTGCAGTCCACACAGATTTCAGTAAGTCCTCTGCCTCATAACATTCATTCATTTCATCTTCACTACTCTCCTTGCTAGGCATTGGTCCATCAGGGTGGGTAATGAATGTTTGCTCAGATGGTGGTCTGGGAAAATTGAACCTACACTCCGTACCCTTCTTCTTACATGACTTTGAATGCTTCCTGCTGTGTTGCTGAACCTCACTAATGATTTTATTAAGTTCTTCATCTTGTTCCTTTGATGGTAATTTACAACTAATGTATTTGTCAATAAATTGTACAACATCCTTATCTTTATCTCTTCCCATTAATGGGGCATTTTCAATCCAAAACAGACAATGTGTATGTGGCGACCCTCTCTGTTGGAATTCCACTCTGTAAAAATAGTCCTTGACTTTGCCAATTGGTTGAGCTGGAGACAAAATTACATCTCTCAAAAATGTATGGAATCGCTTGTCAAACATTCTGGCAGCAGTGACAGGATTAGTTCTTAACACAGTACACTTCTCATTCCAGTCCAAATCTTTTACATCCCTAGAATCACCTTGCTGTCTCAGAATTGTATTGATTACTTCTGGCCATCTCATATCTGCTGCTGAAAATGAACAAAACCATGTTGGTATTCCTAGCTGTCTTATCATCGCCAAAACATCCTTCTGTGCTACTTGCCAGTATGGAAGTGTACCACGAATGGGTTTGAGGAATTTATATCCACTATCAGATTTCAAAATATTACTCAATTTGTCGCTGTCACTGATCACTCTGGCATTTATTTTTTCACCATTGGGCATTTTATCAGAACCTTTACGTAATGCAATGGAAACACTGGACATAACTTTCTGAATCTCTGACAAATACTGAGCATAAAAAATATATTGGGTATTCTGTGCAAATCTATTATCTACATTCATTAGTTTGTTGTGGAAATATCTACAAAGAGTTATAGTCACATCACGTTTGTCATCAAATGTTGGTTGGCCTGTTGGAAATAATGCAGGAAAGCACTTTGCCTCATTACCCTGTTCCATCAAAATTCTGATTGGACTATTGCCTTCACAAGGGGCCACACACAGCACATCATTAAAATACTGATCCAGCACTTCTTGGCCTATATCAATTGGTTGAAGACACGAATCCAATGCCATGCCTCTCAAACGATCATCGTCTGTTTCCTCATCATCACCTCCTCCTTGTTCATCATCACTGTCATCACTCTTATCCCCAACTTCCTTTCTGACATCATCCTCATTTTCCTCAGTATCCTCAACTTCAGACAATGGATTCTCCCAATCACTGTTAATTTCAATGTCTTTGTACCACTCATTATTATGTTTCAGGTAGTATAATGCACTGTCAACATGCTGCCTATTAACAAACTGATACTGATAATACCCCTTGTATGACAATTTCCTCTTCAACTTAACACGAATCATTTCATGACTATGTTCAGCTCTTGGTAATACTTTCACAGTGTCTGTTATGTTTGAAGGAACACACACAACTGGACCCCTCATGCCATGCTGTCCACCCTTCGGCAATGCAATGAGTTTCATAAATGGTACATTTATTGCAATCAGATGTTCTTCCAAGACATTTAAACATGCTAATTCATCAGGAATATTAATTAACATCAAATTATTAATACTTGCTTGAGCAGGTATTTTGTTAGTTAGTAATTTCCTATGACATGTGTAGCATATCCACAAACATGACCTGCTTGATGCTGCTATAACACACTTTGATTGACAGTCCTCACTACAAGTATGAAGATACTCTTCAGAAATACAACTTTGATGCTTATATTTGTATTTATTACATTTCACGACTTGTTTCTTGAACAGAAGCTTGTGACATGAGGCACACACATACTCTGGTCCTTTACAAATATCTTCCTTGAATGTCTTTGTCACATTATCCATACAACGTCTCATGTATTCACGGTATGCAATTTTTCTCTGGTATTTTTCTATTCCAGCTTGTATTAAATTTCTCCTATATTTTGCGTTAGTATGATACTTTTGTTTGATGTTAGCAATAAGTCTATTTCTGTATGAATTATTGACATGGTATTTGAATTTAGCCAGATTGATTTTCCGTTCCCTATATCTAACATCTGCCTGATACTTTTGTTTTTTATAATTCTTACTTTCTTTTCTGTATGTCTCATTCTCACAATATCTTCTTTTACCAGCATTAATTAATCTTTCCCTGTATACAACATTATCACGATATTTTTTCTTTGCAGTAACATTTAACTTTTCTTTATATTTTTTCTTCAGATTGTCTCTGTGTGCAACATTATCACGATATTTAGCAATTTCAATCTTCAATTTTTTTACCTTAAACTCACTGTCATTACAATATTTCTTGTTGAATACTTCCTTCTTGTTGTCAGCATTTTCTTTGTATTTCCTTTGATCATACATTTTCTTCTTCTGCTTACTACATGTATCTCTTTGCTTTGTCTTTTCCTTGTACCTGTCCCTAGCCTTCTCTCTCGCTATTTTACGTGTCAATTGCATATTTGTTCGTTTTCGCCTCTGCTTTTTCAGTACTTTATGAGTTGTACCAATTTCAGTAGTTCCAGATGTTACATGTTTTTTTCCCTTTGTATTTAAATATCTAATATGCCATTTCTCATCCTCACATCTTTTATGGCCTCCATTGTTAATTACAGTCTGTCTTAATGCATGTTTCTGAATTGACAGCACAACATCATAGTGAATTCTCTGTCTGTGATATAAATATATTCCTTCATCCAAATTAATACCACTATCCTCGACAATATTTTTAGAAAACATACACCACTTATTGACATCATCAAATGTATATATGTCAACACCAAGCATATGTCCCATTGCCATAATTTTAACTTCCGTAGCCCATATTCCAGAATCAAACAATCTCTTGTGAATGACATACTCTTGCACATTATTATAACCTTCCCGCAAAATGCCGTCATATTTTGTTTGGTGCTTCAACATGTGATTCACAACTGCCACCCGTAAGCACATATGATTATCTTCTGTTCCTGATATGGCATATGATATAGCTCTGAAGAAACAGTTTCCATCACCTTTGATTGTCCTTACATCATGAGGTCGTTCCATTTGTTCACATTCTACAGAAATGTCATCAACTTCATCACATACATACATCATTCCATGTTTTCTACACAGACCAACCTTGGTGGTGTATCTCAACGGAACAAATTTAAACACCTCCAGCCGTATCACTTTAGTTATTTCAACATCATCACCAACATCACCTGTATTAGTGGAAGTTTCTTGATGACCACTATTTGGACAATCTTCTGTAACATTGTCAGAGAACTGATCACTAACACTTGCATTACAAGCAGCTCCATCATGTTTTATGGTACCATGCCGACAAGCCTCAATGACAGACCCATTGCCGTGACTACTACAATATGCAATACTAGCAGCATCATGTCCTACATGTACCTCATCATCTAGCCAAACATTCATGCCTGTGATTTCATACTGCTCATTACTAGACAATGACATAGATCGTGCCAAACTGCTACAGTACCTGTGAACATCTTGCCAAGCAGAGACACACTTCAGCAAACTTCTTCCCTCACTTGTCTGATTACCATGCTGATCTCTAGAATGTGAATCAAAAATATAATACATTCCATTCTGAGCAATGACAACAAACGTGGTTTCATGAAAACATATGAAACAAGCATAGTATCTCTGCAGAGTCTCTTCGAGTGCACGATTCATTAGGATCATGTTAAATTCAGATAAATTGCACTCATCTCCTAAAGTTCCACATACAGGATCTGCAAACTTCATACAAAAATGATGATTCAGCAGATCAAGTTCATCTGGCAATTCAGTCACCAACAGAAAGTCATTATTCATTGTACTGCTCTGAGATAAATGACAGTATAATTCATTTCCTGTTTGCAAGGTGACATCTAAATCATGACAAGACCAGTCTTTCAGTAACTTGGTTCTACTGTACAAAATGGCACACAAACTGTTTGCAACACATTGTTTGCCACTGTTAAAACCAAATCTCAGATCACCTTGGTGGAAGTTACCTTGCACTGTCCTTTCAGCCAATACTCTACAGTTTGTGTCTGTTCTATTTTGCATATTATTGCCCAGTTCAGTTACATCACTGATTGGCACTTCCTCACACTTCCATTTCATTGATTTACGTGTTTGATGTAACACACCTGGCTTCTTTGTACACATACCGATACTCTTATCATCAGTTTTAGATTTCATTTTCTTAGCTCCACTTTTTGTTTCACAACTTCCACTAGCACACAATGCCTGTCTTTTCCTACTTCGCAATTCATATGTCTTAGACTGTTTTATTTCCAATGCCACTGCCTGATCTTTTTGGACATTTCCTTCTTGACACTTCTTTTCATCAGAATCAATGCCTTTACTGACACTACCCACAACCTTTTTACTTCTAGTACACATTGCACTTCTTGTTTCTACAATTTTGTCCCTTTCTCTTTTCCTTCCATCCTGATCATTTGAAGACTGGCCTTTCCTTTTCCTCAATGAATAACCACCAGTCTGCTTAATTATTAGTCCCGTGCCCTCAGTTACATGTATTTTTCTCAAACCTGTCCCCTGCCCTATCCTAGCTGAACATATCTTCATTTTCAGGCCACTTACACCGTTCACGTTGTTCATCTGTTCGTCTTCAATGCTATCATCTGCATCCATTCTGTCCACAAGAGCATCCTTGTCTGCCTCATCTTCCTTGTGTGTCAACTCAAATGTATTTATATCTGTTGGAATACCAAGATCATACAAAAGTGACTTTGAAAAAGAACTTCTTCCACATTTTCGACACATCCGTGCCACAGCTTTGTTGGTCAACAACTGGTCCATCTTTGAGAAATTCATACATTTCACATGATACCAAATGTCACAGCTATCACACTGCACATGGGTTTCAAATGACTTTATACTCTGATCACACCACCAGCATTGCTTGTTATGAATTTTACTTAATTTTTCTAGACTCTTTTCACATGCTTCACTATTCTTTGAATTTCTGGCTTCAGATTGCTCGATTTTTCCAATCACCTTGTTACACTGTGCACTCATCTCTTTCCCTTTTTGCACTGTTCTTGGAGCACTACTACACCTGACGTTTTTGTTTACACGTGTCACATCACTTGCATGCTTACTGTGTTTTCTTTTTCTGTTTTGTAATTCACTCATATTATCCATCTTCTTAATAACAAACTCAAGACTTCTTCTAGTGCGACAGTACATATTTTTTTGGATTCTATCATGCACCTGTCTCTGATCTTCACTCATCCACAATTCAATCCTCTTCCCATTTCTCCTCATGTTGAAAGATTCTCTCCTAATTTCCCTTCTTCTTTTCTTCAAACTCACTTTTACTTTCTTTGTTTCTGATTTGGGCCTACAGTGACTTTGTACACCATTGCAAGCATTACCTTTAACAGTCTTGCTGTCATTCTTCAAGTAGCTCCACAACCACCTCATAACCCTTTGGTCATGTACTCTCTTTCTTGTCAGCTTGTGCACTCGTCTCCTTCGCAGTTCATCAATTTTACATGTCTTAGTTCTGCCTGGCTGTGCCACGTTTACATTCAATTCTTCTGCTCTTCTGCAAGTAGATGACTGTTTTAGAATGATTTTCTTCTTTGAGTACCTGAACTTCTTCAAAGCTTTCTGGCAAGATACTCTCTTCTTACTCAACTTGTAGATTCTCTGTCTTCTCAAAACATGCACAATTTGCCTAGCCTTAACATGTCTAGTAGTTCTTTGACTTGGCTTTACTGACATCACACCCAAAGTCATATGATCCTGCATCATCTGTTTACATAGTACACTGTCTGACAAACTTTGATCACTAGTCTACTTTGCCATATTTTGTTTACATATCCGTCTTGCCATTTGTTTCACTACCGACCGGCACTTTCCATTTTTCACTAGTATTGCCATCTCAAGAAACAGAAATGCCAACTAAAGAGATAGAAGTGCCAACTCAAGCTAAAGAGACTGAAGAGATTCAAGAGACTGGAGAGACAAAAGAGATTCAAGAGACTGAAGAGACAAAAGAAACTCAAGAGACTAAAGAGACTAAAAGAGACTGAAGCGATTCAAGAGGCTGAAGAGGATATCGATGGAGATCACTGAAGAATAAACTGGAACACCTATTCAACGAAGCAAGAAAAAACAACATTCATTCAAATACATCTGTGATACAATTAACTTCTGTAATGTACATGTCTGATTTTACTTGGGGCCATTGACCATGTTGACAGTAGCTATGGGCGGGGCCCATCTATAGTTGGCTGGCCACATCAATCTTTGAATTTTGCAAAATGTTGCTAGACTATAAAACCATGGAGCTATTATAAAACTAGCCCCATAAATGTGGCCAATTTGGACTACCTTCGTAAACATAGGCCACACATCCGCCATCACTGAACCTACTTGCACAAGTTTGCAAATTTATTTCCACATTGCGACTCCATACCCAGTTCAGTTATGCTTTAAAAATACACTCACCCTCTTAATAACAAAGTTTGAACCTGCTTCCAGTGTCAGTTGCCCAGCTGCAGCTTAATTTACAATTATTTCTGGAGGCTTGAGTGCATTTTTAAAGCATAAATGAACTGGGTCTGAAGTCGCAATGTGGAAATAACTTTGCAAACTTGTGCGAGTAGGTTCAGTGATGGCGGATGTGTGGCCTATATTTACGGAGGTAGTCCAGTAAATTGGCCACATTTAATGGGGCTATTTATACTATTAATATTATAAAGGCAGTGGATATTTTGCCGGAGACGGCAAACCTTTAGTAAACGTTACATGTAGTTTGCCGGATATGCACTGAACATGCGCAGTTACTGTTTTTTTTGTATCTCGTATTCACAAGATAGGATTCAGACCATTTTATAATTTCAGACTTTATTTCCCTTTTAAAAAAATTCCTCCAGAGCCACAAGTCTGAAAAAGAAAATGTAATACTCTGCAGTAAAATGTTTGAGACATGTTAAAATAATAAAAGAAGAATATTCTTATTTATTTGGGGATGAAAAAAAAAAAAAAATGTGGCGAGGATCAGGATCGAACCCGAGTCATCCCGCTCGCTACAGCTTTTGCTTAACCACTACACCAAACATGCTACACAACTTTTGGTGGGAATTTAATACATCTTATAATTCTTACTTTTAGGACTCCGTTCCTATATAGGGAGGGAAAGACCAAACAAAACAGCTGACTAAATGACACTCAAAAGTGACATTCTGATATTTCTTGACACATTTGAACAGTTGGCAATGACACCTTCTTCAGTATCAGGAAGTTTAAGCTTGTGGAAAGAGGGCAGGGCTTTGATTTTAGAGTGAAATTGAGGGGTAAAAGACGACGATGACAAACAGAAAACAGACTCAAAAACCAAGATGGCAAGCATGAAAGCTCGATGCAATGAAAGCTTGATGCTGATTGGCTGATAAAAAATAAACATCTTAATTTTTTTTTAGCAGCCAATCAGCATCGGGCTTTCATTATGTAGGGCTTTCACTCGCGTGTGAGAACTACAACATGCAAGTCTGACTGTGAAAAAAGGTAGGAAAGTCACATTTTCTTTGAAAGTGCTTTCACAATTACAACTCACATGAGTTTATATGAAGAAAAAAGACTGCTTTAGCCTGCAAAAGTCACTTTGGTACTGGACAGTCATCTGCAAAAGTCAGTTTTGACCAGAACTTGTAAAAAATAGAGGTGTCCTAAAACTAGTAAAAGTAAGGCAGTGTATATTTTGCCGGAGACGGCAAACCTGTAGTTAACGTTAGTTTGCCGGATATGCACTGAACATGCGTAGTTACTGGTTTTTTTTGTACTTAAAACATTTTCCGGTGACAAGTTTTAATCTGGCTCCATGCCAAAATTATCGTTGTTACCTCGTATTCACAAGATGGGATACAGACCATTTTATAATTTCGGACTTTATTTCCCTTTAAAAAAAATCCTCCAGAGCCTCAAATCTGAAAAAGAAAATGTAATACTCTGCAAAAAATGTTCGAGACATGTTAAAAAAAAAAGAAAAAAGAAGATTCTTATTTATTTGAGGATGAGAAAAAAAACCTTAAAAATGTGGTGCAGTCGGAATCGAACGCGAGTCATCCCGCTTACTAGTAGAACCTTTGGCTTTGCTTAACCATTACACCAAATGTGCTACACAACTTTTGATGGGAATTTAATACATCTTATAATTCAGCCCTATTTTAAAGAGTACAGCGCCCTCTGTTGATATGGATTGCCGCCGGCAAACCTTTAGTAATCGTTAGTTTGCCGTCATTACCTCCGGCAAAATATCCACTAATCCCACTGTCTAAAAGTAAGGATTAGGCCTACCAAGTAGTCATGCAAGTACCACCAGTACCGTAAGTTCAGTCCAAGCATGTTGTTAGGCCTACTCCGACTAATGATTTCCCTATAAAAAATAGCCATCACGCACGCCAACAAAACCTGAAATACTCCTTTTCTACCATATTATAAGGAAAAAAACACTAAATTTCTCAACTATAGCAACCAAACCACATTTTTTGGTGCCTAAACACTGCTAAATACTGGAAAAAAGGACCAAGTATCCAGCTGGCCTACCTTGTCGAGAATGAAAATTAGTCAGGTGCAGTTCCAATCTCGGCCAATATCCCACAACGGCAAGCACGTTAGTAGCGATGCAAGGACACTAGTTACTAGATCGACGACGTCATTCAGCTTTGCGCATGCGCCGGTCGCCAGTTCATTATCAGCTGCCCACTAACAGAGGGCGCACTGCTAAAACAAATCCACTCTCGATCTTCATTAGTGCACGCCACAAAGTGATGATAATTTACACCGTCGTTTGGTTTTGTTTACATATTTAGATGATAGTTACCATAATCCATTTAAAAGTCATCCGAGATATTAAAGTTCCTTGTGCCCGCACTCCCGATCCCTTAAGAAATCTATATATATTTTGTAAATGAAAGACAATACCCTGAGAATTTCCTCCATGATGAAAAACACCCAGGCCTTCTCGGATGCGTTTTTGTACCGACCCGTATAGCGGGAGATGTACGGTCTTGCCCACCAACTTCACCGAAAATCTTGACATTGTTAGAGTATAATACACTCCATTCTTAGCCTCGTTTAATCTGGCTTACCCAATGTTATTGTCTTTAAAACTCTTGCATGTAATGCACATACTCTTCATGAGATTTCTTAAAATATTATGTATACTTCTCTATTTTTTCTTATTTTTACAATTTTTAATTTAATTTTAAGTAATTACTTTAATTTAATTTCATTTATTGCATTTTATGTGTGAACCTCTTAGTCAGAACAACCTCTCCACGGAAACTTGTTGTCCGGCCTCTTTCTTCTCTTTCCTCGTTCTGCGTCAACTGTATTGTTGAAGACTCATTTATAGGTCTTTAGGACATTAGAGTGCGCAACTTGTAAGTGCAGTACATACCCTTTTTTGGCCTTTAATTGTATGTGTTGGTTTTAATAAATGTTTATCCTGAGAAATAAAGTAAATGAAACGTAAATGGAAAATGTGCACCACTGACGTAATAAAAAAAAACCGATTCTTATATCTGAACGTTAATACATTCTTCAACGTAAATTTACTCTCAATTAAATCCTCCATTGAAACTTTTCACATTAATATAAACATCAATAATTCAAAGTTGTTCTTACATTCTTCATTTGCCTTTTTACGGTTGAAAACGGGCACCTTCATATTTTGAAAGGAAAAACTATTATAACCAAAAATTGTAACAATATTTGCTACGAATATTCATCAAATATTGCTACAATTTTCCGTTGTACTTTTCCTCGGAGAAACTACTGGTCAATGTTAATTTCAGACGAAAAATAGAATTAGCTGTAGCAAACTGCTTACCAACCAAAAAGGACCTATGTGTATTTTCCTCTGCATCATCTATTTCCACTTGACTGCTTTTGTTACATCAGTAATGTATACATGTACCTGTTTATGTTTATAGTCTTGTCATTTAGCCTTCGAGAAAGACTCCGCTAAGGTCGAAACGTCAGGCCACTAACTATTTTTTTGCTTTTAATTTAAGACCATACAAGTTAAATAGTGCCCTCTATTGACATGAAAAGCTAATAAAAAGCAAGTGCGTCACATGCATCGAAGATCTATAGCTAGCACCGCGTACGGGTACGGTATCGATATCGCACATGTCCAAAGTTTACTCGAGTCCAGGCGAGCAAAACAACACAAAAAAAAACCCGGGGTCTATAGAGTTCGTCATCTTTTTTCTGGTAACCGTTACTGCAAACGTAAGTGTCCCTTCTATCCTTCATTGCAAACATAATAACAATACATACTCTATTTGTTACTGTATAACGTTACTATTTAGGCGAGTACAACAGCAAAAAGCTAAGTGAAACTTCGTGAAAGTTCAACAACTTAATCTAACGTCATGAACATGCGTGCATGGTCGAATAACATGAATAACAACATGCTGAGTCATTTTGCAAGGGTATGGTGAACTGGGAACTGCATTGCCAGGATTGGTGGCTTCAATAACAACGTATACATGCATAGGTAGGCCTACATCACAGTTTAGGGCAAGAGGCTAGGCCTATGTAGTTTAGGACACCTTTCCGAAAAGAAAAGGGATAAATTTAAACTACTGACATTGACATAAATAAGTCATAACTTAGATGGGAAAGATTTCCATATACGAAGTTCACTCAACACTCTGTGTACAAAGCCTATGAGAGCTGAGAGTGGACTGAAAAATTCTAAGTGTTTTCTAAGAAAATGCTTGTATTTTCTCACTGCTCAAATTGACTTTGATGACATGAAATTGCTATCTGGGGGCTTGTTAGTCAATACAGAGGAAAATCAGTGAACTTCGCATATGGTAATCTTGCCCTTAGATGAAAGTGATATTGAATATTCTAAAACCACTCATAATATAGGCAACTTCTACAGAACATCTGACGCAGTAATTGCACAATACCCCGCACCGCTACTCGGAAAAACACACCCCAAAAAACTTTGACTACGCAGTTAGAATCACTGCAAAAGAAACAATTCAAGTCCCATATTGCCACCTACACAGATACTGAATGGAGCACAACACAGGCACTTCAGTTAATGACATCAACAACACCATCCTGAAATTAGGAGATCAAAAAATTTACAAACAAATATCATCTGACAAGAACACCTCAACTCTACAAAACAATGTCAAATTTCTAGAATTATGGCAAAATCAATGGCTCATGAACTTAAATCCATTCAAGTGCTGTACCATCACATTTTCTAACCAGAATCCTCCAAAGAATTCCTACACCTTCTCTACAGAGCAACTCACATCAAAAGATTCCAGTCCTTACTCAGGCATGAAGCTCCAAAACACACTCAATTGGAATAAACAAACACACCTTGCTGCAGCCAAAATCCAAAAAGTCCTCGGAGTCATCAGGCGGAAGATGTGGAGCTGCCCAGAAAATGTGAAATCCACGGCACACCTATCTTTGGTGCGTCTGCACCTGGAGTATGCAGTGACTGTGTGGGACCCACACACCGAGTATAACGCCAAATACTGGACAGAGTCCAAAGACAGAGAGCAACATTCTGCACAAACAATTATAGAAGGGAAGAGGGAACAGTAACTGAAATCCTGCAGCACCTCAAATGGGGAGACCTGAAACACCAATGGAAGATACAAAGACTATCAATGCTCTCCAAATCAAACACGAACTAGTTGCCATCTCACAACCAGAGCACCTCATCTTAAACACAAGAAATACCAGGGGGCGCCAACAGACACTCTACAAACAGCATAAAACCAAGGAAGCCTACAAGTACAAGAACTCTTTCTTCTCCAGAACCATTACAGAATGAAACAACTTGCCAGCCAACGTCGTCAACTCTAGGACATACTTGCATTCAAAGATAATGCATCCAAGCACTTCATGGACAACTTACCCAATTTACTAAGGTCATCTCCACATCCACCCTGTGCAAGTCATAAGGTTAAAGTTGGTGTGATATTCTTGACTACATTTTATCGACACAACCAGAACCTGAACCAGAATCAACAACACTAATTTCATGAAAAGAGGAAAGAGTTTCGATTTTTAAGTCACATTCAAAACTCCACATTACAAGAATGTGAAAAGCCAACAACACTTTTTAATCGCCTCTTCCATTAATGATCAATGTGATCCTAATATTACTTTCACTCATCCACAATGTACCATCACAGAGCTTATGGATTCACCCCAATCTTTTTTTTTTTTTTTTTTTTTTTTTTTTAATGTTCCTGGTCTTCTATCTGTTTCTATATATGTCCATTCATTGACCTAACAATGTTCAAGTTAAACTACATGTAGCTGGATTACACAAAATTGCTCGAGTCATTTCAACATACTTCACATCAAAATACCATCAACCATCACTCCATCAACTTTTCCTTGTAACAATTATTACATAGCAAACTGTAAAACATTTGACGAAAAAAATTGGGAATTGGCCCATTGTTTTTGTTGTCAAAGCTAAACTCAGCATTTTTCCAAGCCCTTTTTCAAGTACAACAAAGAATTAGTAGCAGTACATTATAATCATTTATATATGTTCATTTCAACACAATTATTACAAAATTCATTTTTTACCTTTTCCAGATGTCATCAATTGACGTGAAAATAATCACATCTCCATCTCAGCGTGGCAAGTCAACCATAGCAAATGCTGTAACGTCAAGTAATGAGGTAGTTGAGCTGATGGTTGTTGAGGACTTTGCTCGCATCGAAAATAAAATCGAACCAGGCACCTACGTTAAATTCCTCCAATACAATACTCAGGAAGAACCCAACAAGAAGCGAATCAAACTTCATCGTAAGACAAAGGTAAGAAGATAACAAGTATATAGTCATGTCAAATTAAGCAAACTTTCTTAACCAACTCACCAACATTTTCACTAATTTTATCAGTTTGTAATGTATGGTTCACAATTTATGCAAAAACATTTGAAATTGTTAACATATTTAATGTTTTGGCCAATACAAATCTCTACCAACCATCTCCACTACTTTCCACATAACCTTCACCACTGCACACAAGCACAATTAATTAAACACTCCACTGCCACTCCATACACATACCCATACACACATACATGTACAATGTACTATATAATACAGAACATGTCAACTGACTTCCTTTCATTGACCAACAAAAACTACCAAATAACCTTTAATATCAAATTGTGTATGATCTTCTCTCTTTCCATTTCATAACTTATCTAGATCTTCACAATCAAGCCCTTCGATGTGGATGCGACCATTGAACAACACTTTTTCAATGCACCACATGCACCTATAGACGAAGCGTTAAACATGCAGTCAAACAAAAGAGTTTCCCTAAAAGGAATTGCACAAAATGTAAGTATATCAAAACATGTCTTTTATATTCAACACCATTTTTAGATTGTATCCAAATGCCCCCCCCCCCCCCCCCAACCAGTTTAAAAGCCATATAACGTGGAAAATGTTTTACAGTGAACCAAAGGCAACCAACAGCACTGCAGGCAAAAGGAACACTTTCTTGCACAAATGACACTTCTCATTGTATCTTCAAAGTCCTAAGAAAAATATGTCCGAATGAAATGTGAAATCTTCTATTCTTCGAGATTGACAGGAACTGGTAGCCTTTAAACTATTTCACTTAACATGTCCATATCAAACCATTGAACAAATAAGTTCATTCCTTTTACCCCTCAACCAACAGACTCGAGGGGTATTGTCATCGCCTACGGCGTCCATCCGTCCATATGTCAGTCAGGTAGACTGTTCTGACCATACCACCCTTGTGGGGTGATGTTTCTTTCAGGACACATCACCCCACTATTTTTGCAATAGAAAAACCACCCCAGAAGAGAATCTTTAAAAAAAGGGATAATGGGAACACAATGCTATCACCCCTCAATTCCGTCAGGCTAGACTGTCTGTCTGTCTGTCAGGCGGGCTGTCCAGACGTCCGTATGTCCGTCCGTCCAGGCAGCTTAGTTTCCAGATGATAACTTGACTTAGAAATGTTGTTTCGGATTGTTACTTCAATAAGGTCTTGCCCAAAAGAGTAGGCAAGTTGGGATTGGTTTTGCGGTAAAAAGGTCAAAAATCAAGTTCTCCGTAGTAAGTAAAAGTAAATGGTTTCCACATGATAACTTGAGTTAGAAATGAGATTTTGGTATCTAACTTTCGTAGGAAATTGCCCTTCGGAGTGGGCAAGTTGAGATTTGTTTTTTGGGGAAAAGGTCAAAGGTCAAAGTCACCGTGGTGAATTACAGGTAAATGGTTTCCAGATGATACCTTGAGTTAGAAATGAGATTTTAATGTCTAACTTTGGTAAGGGGTTCCTCTTGGCAGTAAGCAAGTTCCGATTGGTTTTGGGGTGAAAAGGTCAAAGGTCAAGGTCACCATGGTGAGTAAATAATTTCCAGATGATACCTTGAGTTTATGAAATGTTGGTGTCCAGCTTCAATAGGGGGTTCCCTTTGAGTACACGCAAGTTTGAATTGATTTTAGAGTCAAAACATCAAAGGTCAAGGTCATTGTGGTAAGTTAAAGGTAAATGTTTCCAAATGATAACTGGAGTTAGAAATAAAATTTTGGAGTCTAACTTCCGTAGGGGTTTGCCCATTGGTAAAGGCATGTTGAAATTAGTTCCGGGGTTAAAGATTGTAAACACAACCAATTGTTCTACAAAATAACATGATTATAAATGTTATACCCAATGTTTACTCAACCACATCTATATTTTATGTCATCATTCAAATTGTTCCATCAACTACATGTATCTTACAATGAATGTCGACAATACTTATTTGCAGATTTCACCAGTCAAAGAAGGACCATCTTCAAGACGCAACGAACTTGTTCTGAAGGATCCACAAACGTCATCAAGCATCCGATGCAAATTGTGGGGAAAATTTGCAGATTCTAGCATTGCAAGTGGTACCCTCATCGATATTCACAACGTGGAAGTCTCACACTTCGAGTCCATGACAACTATCAACACAACACCGGAATCAACTGTGAATGTAAGTGTTAACCATCCATTCGTCCATTCACTTTAATCTGAAACTAGCTAATATGTGTTCTGCTTTAATTCACATGTTTTCTCGAACTCCACACTATTAGCTATACACTCATACAAGTCACTATATATCATCATGTTTACCCCTCCTCCCACACCCAAAAAAAACCAATAGAAACTAAAAACCATTCAATCCTTACCAGTATATTCTTGTTTTAATTGTTATATTTACATGTATGTAGCCAAATATCTACATACATGTACATGTACATGTACTACATTAATTAATTCTTCACCAACATAAAGCCAATAACAACTATGCAGTAGTTACTACAAAACCCTGCAAACTCCATAAAATCAAACAAGACATGTAATTAAACACAATTTATATTGAACTTTTCACAACCAAGCCAAGCAGAAGCCATAAAATCCCAAAAAACAAAACCTCAATATTCAAATACACAATGCAACATGTTCCAAAAAAAGAAAGAAGACATTTATAGAAAACCGCCATCCTTTAAACAGCCATTGATCAACCCCAATCCTGTCAAATCATGACTTATTTCATCCATTTCCTCATTACAAAGTTATCTCTTCCAACAATTCCCAAAAATTCACCACCTATCACTAACAATGATTAAGGCAAAACCAATCACATTAAGAAGCAGTACAGATGATTTTTCACCATCATACAGCAATCTATTTCATTCATAATAAATATTGCTCGATACAACTTACAAGCTGAACACAGTGCATCTTCCACCATTTCTCACCTTTCAATTAATGGTCCAACTTAATAGTCCCATAAGACCACAAACAAAACCACACATTTGTCAATTCATCAAAACCAATACTTGCACAAATCCAATAATGTATCATAAAACATCTTGTCTTTTTATCATCACCTAATCAATTCCTATATTTTCACTTGATGTCCACAGGAACTCACTCGTCCACCAACAAGAGACTACATAATAACCGGCTTTGACATTGACAGGTATGTCCACTCTTCCATAGGCATAGCTATCCTTGTTATTTTAGTTTCAAAATCAGTATACAAAATATCTAAACTGTTCCCATTTTTCACATCTCATGCAAGTACAATTTAAAAATCAACTCATCCTTTTTTTTTATATTTCCAGTGAACCAACTCAAATTGTAACGACCACAGACCTGATGTTCAACATTAGTGCAGACCTTCTTCAAAAACTAGCTGACAATGACATCTCCACCCTAACAGACAAGCTTCCCCTTGCATGCACCATACAACTAGATCTGAAAACCAACACTGTCATCGGCATAACACCGTAAGTACACTATCATAATCCATAACCCCTAAATGCTTCCCTAGGACAACCTTGCTAAATATGACTGATCCAACCAAGAGCAGCAATCACTTCTCAAAAGTAGAAGAGCAACAAACTGGTACCTTGATCAGCACTAATTCCAGCTCGAAGCAAGTCTTTTTATTCTAGTTGCTCTGGTGGTGCAATCTGAGGAAATTTCTGACCGTTAAAACCAATTTTTGTTAAATATTATTTTCGAATTTGGACTAATTGAATCACCTCCATTAAGCTACAGCATTATTCTCTTCATTATAATTATTAATTCGGTACAAAACAAAGTAGGGTGGACAAATTCTTTGATATCCGCCCCCCCCCCCCCAATCCACCACCACCACCACCACCAATTAACACTCTAAATCCAACTTTGACTCATATCACTTTCTTAATCACTGACCTGCCATTCCAACCTGATCCAGCTCTCTCTTCTTTCCCATTTCGTTTGCTGGATCAAACAAAATCCACCCAACCATAATGTACCACAAACACTATTCAATGTGTACTCCCCACCCCAAAGACTTCTACATTCCATATTCTGTTAAACCCAATTACTCAAACTATCCCCTCTGCAACCATTCCTATTACTACTAATACTAACATTACTACTTTTCTTTTTTTCAGAACTCAAGAAACTCATGTTTAGACTAACATCTACCGCACAAGGACCTCTTGCCCCAACAGCTTGAAAAAAAGATTCTGATGTTCATTTTAAACACTTATTAGAAGACTTGATCATTTTATGATATGTTACATCTATCTCCAGCAATAGATCAAACCGATTTTGTTTAATCATAATACAAAAAAACTGACGAAGCCTTTAAATGTTTTCACATTTACAACCTGAACTGTCATTTATGTTTCAAAAATACACATGTATCTCAAACAACTTAACTTATTATTACAATATTCTTAGTTTCCAAATTTCACTTCCAAGTACTATTACCTTTAACTGTTTATGTACCGGCCACCCCGTCCCCATACAACGTAAATCTTATACAATTCTTAACAAAGTTTACCTCATTACAGTTTCATTTCAAGTTGATATCTCCATAATCAAAAGTTAACATCTTGTATTCTTATCGTAATAACAACAGAATTAAAACTCTGTCATAACATTATTTGACTTCTAATCAAACCCTACTTACAGTTACATGTTATTAATTATATAATGTTATTCTAAACTTTAACGTTGTATACACTATATTTACATTTAAGCACTCTTTTATATACATGTATTCTTATTTACCAGAAACTGTATGACAAAATCAGGGACCTGTTGGCCAAAAGTCCATTTCGAGTCATTACAATTTTAGTGAAATACAGACCTTGCTCTTTCAAACATCGGTAGTTTTTTAATATTATATCATATTCAAAAGTGAAGATACTAAATTACACAAATACACAGTACGCAGACAAATTGCTCAATTTCATGTCATTTCAGAAGACATACTTGCTAAAACATCAATTTCAGAAATGACATGTCCCTCACTTCCACAAATTGCTATAAACACCAGTTTGTCTGTGCAACTTCAGTTACAAATATTTACTGAACATATCAACAGCAAAACAAAACAAACCAATCCAAAATCACTGTCCATCACCACTTATCATTTTGCAGCCATTTCTCCATTTATAGGCCAGGTCTGCCTCGTTTGACATACCATTTTACATGTTCATTATTTACCGCTATTCTCCATTACTTAATCACCAAACCATGTTCACCTTCTCAGACTTTTAACTTATATTTTTACCCTTTTCATGTATTTTATATTTATTCTTATGTATGTAGACCTATAGTTATATATGTATTCTTGTACTTCCACATTTATTATATATACCACATTGTCAATCTCACTTCAGTTAAAAACAAATTCATAGAATGTTTTCATAGTCAAAAACCCCACTATTACTACAATTTGTTGAACATCACCCAATGTCAATTTCCAGCCATTTTTCCCATTGTAGCTTAACCCACATCGGTGTCACATATGTATATTTATATTTATTCAGCACAATTTTCAACTCATTCCCCCACCCATAATCATGTTTTGAGAAATGCACTTATACTTGCACGTTTCCTATGCCTTTTTATACACAGGTGTTCTTATATATACATGTACATGTATATTTATATATCTTTTGTTCTTTTTACAACATAATAAACATTCTTGTTTGCAAACACTTTGTATCTAAGCATCAAAGTCCTTTTGTTCTATTCCATTGAATTAATTTGTACTTACATTACACTAACTTCATCACAATATCAGCTACATGTACATCTACAGAACTGGAAGTCAGATCGAGTTCAAACTTAATATTCTAGTATTCCAGGACAGGTCAAAGACAAACTCTGAAGTGACGTCATCATGACCTCATCATCTGATTTTTCAGTTATTTTCAATACTTCACTATTCTCCTCTTATTACAAAATAAACTACATACAATACCATCACATTGGCATCAAGCTAGGCACACACCAAGACCCTTTGTTTGTATTGTCTCTCAACAAATTATGTTGTGGTGACGTCATCATTACTTGTATCATGTCATCTACATTTTCCTCATTTACAACACCAAATTAACTTAAAGACAGTCCAATATCTTTCAAACAAATTCATATGTACATTCGACTTGGATGAAACTCCTTCACGGCAATTGTTGCTAAAATGGTCGAAACAGCTCAGTGTTTGTCCACAAACACATTTCTAGTTTCTCTTTTTTTTTCTTCCACTTTTTTTCCCATAGGATAACACGTGTTTTCGTTCTACAACGCACTTTTGGACTTTTTTCAAATCCGATCGACTTCAAACCTGGCTCACACTTAGACCACCATCTGAAGATGTATGCCGAAACTTTTCGTCATGCTGACGTCATCACGTGTCACGTGACGTCATCCTAAAAGAGCATACTTTAAGGCCCTATATCTACAGAACCGGAAGTCCGATTTGGTTCAAACTTGGTATGCAAGTATTCCGGGACGTGTTATAGACGAAAATTGCAGTGATGTCATGATGACGTCATCGTGTGATTTTATTTAAATTGTTCAATTTTTGGACCTTTTACTCATATCTCATAAACAGAATGTGGTAAATTCAAAATTCTTTTTGTAACAGGTTTGTTAGGTCATAGATAGATGCACAAAATTTCATAAAATGTGTGATGTCATGATGACGTCATCAAAAACGTGATTGTTTGATTCCCATATAAGGGTATGTCCGATCGTTATGAAACTTGGTGGGTAGGTAGGTGTAGATAACAGCATTCAAAATCTGAAGTGACGTCATCATGACGTCATTATCTGATTTTTTATGATTTTTTCAAATTTTAATAGTTTCTTCAAATTTTGCAAAAATTATATAAAATACGGCCCGATCGACTCCAAACCTGGTACACAATAAGACCACCATCTGAAGATTCAGGTCAAATCATGACGGCATCATGACGTCATCACGTGTCACTTGACATCATCCTTAATCTGCATAGTTTAAGTCACTATATCTAGAGAACCTGAGGTCCGATTGGGTTCAATCTCGGTATACAGTTATTCCAGGAAGCGTTATAGACAAAAATTGCAGTGACGTCACGATGACGTCATCATGTGATTTTATATGAATTATTCAATTTTTGGACCTTTTACTCATATCTCATCAATGGAACGTGGTTCATTCTAAATTCTTTTTTGCAAAAGGTTTGTTAGGTCGTAGATAGATACAGAAAATTTCCAAAAATGTGTGCCGTCATTATGACGTCATAGGATGGACACTTTTTCTATAGAATATGCATGTACATGTTCATTATACCTGGATGAAACTCCTTTACGGCAGTCATTAATAAAACGGTCGAAACAGCTCAGTGTTTGTCCACAAACACATTTCTAATTTTGTTTTGCGTTTTCTTTCCTCTTGTTACAGGAAATTCCAGCGGTGACAGTTTGCATGATCGTGTTTACAGTGTTACAAATCCTGCATGATCTGTTGAATCACTTTTGACATTCATTAAGTGGTTTATCAGTGCATGAAGGAGCCCATTTTTCGTTGCTACCGCTTCGTTTGAGTTTTTGGTTACTACTGCTTCGTTCAAGTTCTTTATCCCAACTGCTTCGTGCAACTTCTTCATTCCAACTGCTTTGTTCGACTTCTTCATCCCAACTGCTTCATTCAAGTTCTTCGTTCCAACGGCTTGGTTTGACGACTTCTTGTAGAGATAAAGACATGCAAGATGGTGACTTTTTGTAAAATGTGTTTTATTAAGGTTCTTTGAATACATGTATTTCAGTGATATATAGCACAATTAGGCTTGAGCTGTGGCTTCGTCGTCATCATCCATTAGTGATGACGTCATAACCACTTGATTATCCCACCTGATTATTGTATTCATAGTGCTTCTCATTAATACCTGGAGTGTTGATTTTGCCTAAGTTTGCTGAAATTTAGAAAAAATACTATATTGGAATATTGCAACTGTTTAACTTAGATAAACAGTGGTGTAAACATCATGAATGAGTTAACTGAACGCTGTTTGATTATCCATTTGTCTACAATATGCCCAATTTCGTGTGCTTTGTACTTCTGCACTGTATGTATTATTTATCGTTATTCAACCCAGTGGATTACTCCATCCAATTACTGTATTCATTGTTCTTCTCATTAACACCCGGAATATATATTTATTTTGTTCGGATAAGTTTTGTGAAATTGTGAAAGAAAACTATCATAATGATAAATAAGTAGCATAAATAATGAAAAAATAGAACTACTTAATTTTGATATATTAAGCATCACACAAAGGGAGATAATTGCTGAACATGCATGGTGTTTTTTTCTATTTGTTTGATTATCTGTTTTCCCCCAATCTGTCCAATTTCCTCTGCTTTGTACTTCTGCACTCTTTGTATTACTTAACATTATTAAATTATTATTAGTTTTATGGCATCCTAAATCATACTCTATCTCACTACCAAGTTTAATGCTTATTTTGAATAACTGTTGTAAGTTTTTATAGAACTATGATTCATAATGTAATCTTTTCCTTTACTTTGCAGCCGCTGTTGTCATTGGTTGATGACTAATAAACACTACACTAACTATCAACTAAAGAGTTATACTTATTGATGACAACAGCGACAATCTAGACTCTCTGGCACGCTCTACCCCTCCCAATGGCTCACGTCAACTGCTCGGCTCCTGACTGTGAGGCATCCTGGCCTAGCAACACACCCCCAGAGGTGCTGCTCGCCTTGATCAACCTACACGCCCGCACCGCCCACCCAACCGTTCCTGCCCCTGCACCTACTCCCGCCTCATGCGCTGCCAAAGTGGAGAAGGTCAGACGACCTACGGTCATGGCTGCCGGCACGAGTGAAGAATGGTCCTACTTCGAGCTACGATGGTCCGAATACAAAGAAGCCACGCATCTCACAGGAACCGATATAGTCTACCAACTGCTTGAGTGCTGCGACGACCGACTCAGGAAAGACCTGACCAGAACATTCGGTGCCCTGATGTCGCAGGATGAACCGACCATCCTCAAAAAATCAAGAGCTTGGCAGTTCGCCGAGAGAACATCATGGTGGCTCGTGTGCAGCTCCAGCAAATGCGACAGGACCGCGACGAACCAGTGAGGGCCTTTGCCGCCCGCCTTCGTGGCCAGGCTAGCGTCTGTAACTACAAGAAGGACTGTACGTGCTCTCTAGTCGTTGACTTCAGTGACATCATGGTCAGGGACACCCTCATCCGTGGACTAGAGGATGAGGAGATCCGCCTGGATGTCCTCGGACAATCCAAACAGGACATGCATTTGGACCAAGTGCTTCAATTTGTCGAAGCGAAAGAGAGTGGCAAACACTCTGCCGGCCGCCTCCTCCAGGGTGGTGCCACTGCCACTACGACTGCTGCAGCTGCCAGCTCCTACAAACGAAGGGAGAGATCCAAGCTACAGCCCCGCGACATTAAACTTCAGGTGTGTGACTACTGTGGCAAGGCGGGCCATGAACGTAGCAAACAGGAGCGCATGAGGAAGTGCCCTGCGTACAATCACACATGCACGAAGTGTGGCATACTCCACCACCACGAGAGTGTGTGCCGCCAATCCCAGCAGAGACAGCAGCCAGCCACGCCCAAGGCACAGGAGTCACCTCACAATGCCACCGCAGTCTTCGAAACCCTGTGCTCTGTCGACGACGCCCCACCCATGGACGCAAATGCAATCACTCTAGAGCACCACATCTACAATTAGTTCTGCGACGCATGGGAGAGGCGAGGATCTGACCCCCAACCCGTCGTGGACGTCTCTCTCAAAGCAACTCCTGAGGATGCTCGTGACCTCGGCCTCCCTACCCCCCCTGCTATGCACCACCTCCTCAGCCATCTACCCTGCTATGGCTGACACTGGCTGCCAGTCCTGCCTGGCTGGCACGAAACTCCTATCCAAACTGGGGCTTGAAAGGAAACACCTCATCCCTGTCACAATGAAAATGAATGCTGCCAACAACTGCCGCATCGACATAGCAGGTGCCCTGGTCCTCCGCATCTCTGGCACCTCCCAATCTGGAGAGAAACTCGAGACCCGGCAGATAGTGTACTTCACCGACTCATCCGACCGGCTGTTCTTGTCTAAGCAAGCCTGCGTCGCCCTGGGCATGATCTCTACCAGGTTCCCCACCATTGGCGAGGCAATCAGGCCCGACAGTGCCAGCGTCGCATCCTCTGCCACCTCCCCGACGCCCACACCAGCAGCCTGCCTCACGCCAACATGCGAGTGCCCACGACGCCAGATGCCACCGTCTCCCCCAGCAGACCTCCCATTCCCAGCCACTGAGGAGAACCGAGAGAAGCTTGAGACATGGCTGCTGGAATACTACAAGTCGAGCACCTTCAATGTATGTGAGCACCAACTACTCCCCATGATGGCTCGCCCCCCACTGCGACTCATGGTGGACCCTGACGCTCGGCCCGTCGCCTGTCACACACCTATCCCTGTCCCTGTCCACTGGCAGGACAATGTAAAGGCAGGCCTTGACCGCGACGTCCGCCTCGGCGTCATCGAGCCAGTCCCAGTCGGTACACCTGTCACATGGTGCCACAAGATGGTGATCTGCCCCAAGAAGTCAGGCCAGCCCAGACGGACGGTTGACCTCCAGTCACTCAATCGTCACGCTGTTCGTGAGACCCACCACACACAATCACCATTCCACCAAGCACGTGCAGTCCCTCCCCAGACTCGCAAAACTGTGTTCGATGCATGGAACGGCTATCACAGCATCGCCCTAGCTGAGGAGGACCGCCACCTCACCACATTCATGACACCTTGGGGCCGCTACCGATACTGTGTCGCCCCACAGGGGTACATCGCCTCCGATGATGGCTACAGCCGCCCCTTTGATGAGATTGTGTCTGACATCCCGAAAAAGACCAAGTGCGTGGATGATACCCTGGTATGGTCTGATTCCATCAAGGAGGCCTTCTTCCAGGCGGTTGAGTGGCTCGACACTTGTGGCAGACATGGCGTCACCTTGAACCCCAAAAAGTTCGCCTTCGCCAAGATGACTGTCAAGTTTGCTGGCTTTGAGATCACCCCGACCTCTGTACGCCCCTGCCCTGAGTACCTTGAGGCGATCCAGAATTTCCCAACGCCTCGTAATATCACAGACGTGGGCAGCTGGTTCGGGCTTATCAACCAAGTCTCCTATGCCTTCGCCATGACTGACCGCATGCTGCCCTTCCGCAAACTCCTCAAACCTGGTACCCCCTTCTCGTGGACCGATGAGCTGGACTGCCTATTCGAGGAATCAAAGGCCCTCATCGTCAGCGAAATCCACAAAGGGGTGGAGATATTCGACAAGACCAAGCCGACCTGCCTTGCAACTGACTGGAGCAAAGATGGTCTGGGATTTTGGCTGCTCCAGAAGCACTGCGACTGCCCCTCCTCAAAACCCTTCTGCTGCAAGACTGGTTGGAGGGTGACTCTGGTTGGGAGCCGCTTCACTTCAGGTGCCGAGTCCCGCTACGCCCCAGTGGAGGGGGAGGCCCTTGCTGTCATCGATGCACTTGACAAGGCCCGCCACTTTGTCCTTGGCTGCTCTGACCTCATAGTAGCGGTGGATCACAAACCCCTCCTGAAGGTGTTCGGTGACCGCCCACTTGAGGACATCCCAAACCCTCGCCTCCGCAACCTCAAGGAGAAGTCCTTGCGCTACCACTTCCGCATCGTCCACATACCTGGTGCACGCCACGCTGCAGCTGATGGGGTATCCCGCCACCCCGTTGGTAAAGGCGCACCGCTACAGCTCCCTGATGATGTCGCACCTGTGCACTATGACTCAAGCGAACCAACGACCACTGTGCTGCCACATGACTTCCTCACTGCTGTCCGCACCAGTGGCCCAGACCCTGTCCAAGTATGCAGTCAGTCTGCCACCACAGCTGCTAAGATGATCAAATCAGTCACATGGAATGATGTCCGCCTTGCCACATCCAGTGATCCAAACATGTGCAGACTGATTGAGATGATACAAGGGGGCTTCCCCACTCTCCCTGGTGACCTCCCCCGTGAGCTCCGGCCATACCACCAATTCCGTGAGAATCTGTTAGAGTTTGATGGCGTATGCCTTTACAATGACCGTGTCATCATTCCCTCGTCCCTCCGTGCCCGGGTCCTTGAAGCACTACACTCGGCCCACCAGAGCATCACCATGATGTGCGCACGAGCTCAGTCCTCATTCTTCTGGCCAGGTATGACCCCCGCCATCACCGATACACGGGCACGCTGCTCTCCCTGCAACCGTATGGCGCCATCACAGCCAGGCGCACTTCCCACGCCTCCCGTCCAGCCCGATTATCCATTCCAATGCATTGCCGCTGACTACTTCACCTACCGCGGCTGTCACTACCTGGTGATGGTGGATAGGTACAGCAACTGGCCAATCGTCG